TCTGGGTGTCAAGATAATGCCACATAATAGAATTTTTCCAGGAGAAAAATAGTATGAAATTATGTAATTAAGGACTGCCTCATTGTGCATATGCATAGGCAACCTCAACTCTGGCATTTTCTAATTTTGAAACCATATTGATATCATCTCTTTTTTTTGCTTGTAATTTATAACACACAAACACATAAACAATCAGGGATCCGTAGTGTACTAAGCACTGGGTTCTGAACTACAGTCACTACCTCCAAAGAATTTACAATCTAGCCTTTGCTCAAAACAATTTCTTTCAAAACACCATACTTTATAACAATTGGTTCCCAACCTCAGGGCACGACCCAAATCAGGGTCATGGAGGGGTCCTCAGTAGGGTCATGAAGGGCCTGCACACACATGCACTCACGCCCGCAGCCCATCAGCGGCAGGCAGGCAGGACCACTGCGCACAAAGCAGGCAACGGCAGTTACCCCCCTCCTTCCCCCCATCAGGCCACTGTTGCTGCACTCCGCTCCCAGCAGCCCCGCAGCACTGGTTTGGGAGGTCCTGTTGGTGGCCAATTTAGGGTCACAGCAAAAAAGTTGGGAACCACTACTTTATAACAGAACATAAAAATTATATTTACTCCCTGATTTGTCCCAATTCCTTTTGTATGGCTTCACTATCGTACAGAAAACACATCTAAACCACATTTTCCAGTCAGCACATTAGACACAAATGCATTTGACATATCACATGAAATCTCTTGTTTCCTGGCCAGAGCTTTCAAAATAAATATGGGGGCATCTACACGTGCTTGACTGCAGAGTTGACTAATTAGCTTCACAGTAAAGCATCACCATCTACACATGTGGCACTATTAGGCTGGAGTAAACCAATTAACTCCACTGTATGACAGTACTGCCCAACACAAATACTATACTACTGTGGAGTTATTTACTTCATCACAGTGCACATGTAGACAGTGATCAGGGCTGGCTGGAGCATGGAGGTGCTACAGTGCAGGGCTACCCGGAAGGCAGCCCCCACATTATAGCACTTTCATGCCCCAGCCAGCCCCTCCAGAGCATGATGAAGCAGGGTAGAGCAGCTCCAGGCAGGCAGGCTGACCCCTAAGCCACCTGCCAGCCAGGGCTCTGCCACCCCAGCTCAATGTGCTGCTATCTTGGGTGCACATGTAAATGCTGCACCCGAGAGCAATAAACTCCAGCACAAACTACACTGGAGTTTATTGCATCATATTAATAGCAAGTGTAGATGTGCCCTCATACACTCATACACATACACACACACACACACACACACACACACACACACACAGGTTTCCCTATATTTATGCTGTACATGCATTCCTGGAGAACAGTGCATAGATTGAATTCACACAAAGCAAATGCACTTTACAATGTAAAAAATAGGGATCTGTTCCCATGGAGGTGAGGAAGGGAGGGAGGGAGGCTGGGACTAGGGAAGGGGTGCAGAGGAAGGTGTGCTGCTCCCAGGGCTACACAAGGTGGCAAAGCAGAGGGAACAGTGTGGCACTGAGCCCAGCCCCGGCAGTGGCTGGCACCAGGTGCCTGCAGTTGCTGGGTTTCACCATGCTCTACCTGTCCCCAATAACCTCTGCCCCTGGGCTGCACTGTACACTGGTGCAGGCAGCTGGTATCAGCTGCTCACAGAGCTGCTGTAACTGGGGCTGGGGTGAGTGGGGCCACAGCCCTTTCCCCTCCCCCAACAGATTTACCTGTTTGGGTGGGGGGCATCTATGCTGATCACAGAGCGAATTTACCTCACATATAATAAATTATGGGTCTAAATATGCTCATCACATAAGAGTGAATTTGCATATAAAGAACCCGCATAAAATTGAGGGAAACCTGTATATCTTCTCCCCCACCCCCCACCCCTAGACTAGTCCATCTATTGAAGTAGAAAATTTATATAGAAACTTCCAGATCATTGCTCATCTTTTGCACACTTAAGCTTTCTTCTATTCCAAGACCTGCCTAAGCATGTGAAAGTGGCACAACAGTTTGAAACATCCCACATCAACTGCTGCTAAGATTACTAGTCGGTCTGGTAATGGTCAGGGAAATTATTTTTCCTGCCTTGGGAGACTTGGCAATGATGCATCCAATCTAATAAGGTACTTGAAACATTTGTCTTCTACGCTCTGGTGAGTGTACCCCAGGAGGTGGGAAACAAGTTCAAATCCTCCTCTGCACAATTCAGATCTCCTGCTTCTCAAAAGAATTCTCTAACACCTGAGGTATTGCCACCTTGTCACTTTCTTTCCTCTATTGGCTATTTAAGTATTAGTGTGAAGTGCAACAGCTCCCTCAGGAGACAGAGCAACCCACAACAGAACAGAACTCATAGCCATATGGGCTATTTAGGAATAAGATAGAGGAAATGACCACCTCTTTCTCCATTCTGGGAATATAGGGGACCTATACACGTGCCCAACGCTTGTTCCAACACAAACAAATTAGCATGCTCCAACAGCCTCCGCACTCATGTATTCAGCATCCCCACACATCAATTGGTGGTAGGGGCACTTCAACCAAAGCTCGTTGAACAAGGTTTAGTTAAAGCACTCCCGTGGCCATTGTGAAGCACAGGATGCTGAATACACAAAAGACTGCAGGCACTTTAATTAGAGGCTCCTGAAAGCCACTCTAATTAAAGCCCCACCCACACCCACACCCCGGAGCATGTGTAAAGATGCCCGTAGTATGAAAACTTTCTCCAGGTTAAACTGTGCAGGTCTAGTTCAACTCAGTTTTCTGAATAATTTTAGATTAGCCAAAACCACATCTTTCAGTGACTGAACTATTCACCTCACAACATTTGTCCAAGGTTCGAGTTCAGTGGTAATTTTACTTACAAAGAGCTGAGGAATCTGATCTATTGTAAAAATAGGTGTAACTTTGGATTGTGCACAATGCAATCTAACTACCACCAAATTTCTATTTCTTGTTAGAGGCAGCCCTGAAGAGCATCCCCCTTCTTGGTGAAAAAGACTTGAAAAGGGCCTCAATTTATTCTCTCCCATCTTGGTTTGGTTGGGTTTTTTTTTTTTTATGAAAAAGAACATGGAGGAGAATAACATTAAAATGGAAATCAGTTTAGCCCAAACATAACTTGTGGTACAGTCTCATTCAATGCAACATCACAGTTTCTGGCCACAGAAATTTTAATGATATCTTCCATCCAGAACTACAAATAAATCTAAATATATAAAAAGGCCAGTACTAGGAACTAGGCAAATATATTGAACACAACACAGAGATATGGCTGCCATGGTTCCCCTGCTTTACCTGTGGCAGGTTAGGGGCTTAGGTCTTTATTGTGTCAGGACTGAGGGTAGACTTGTATAGAGATTATGGTTGCATGGGATGGTTTGGATAGGGATGATCCTGCCTCAGGCTGGAGGTCCCTTCCAGCCCTACTTCTATGACTCTATGATTCTCATACTGATCTACAAGCAAAATCCCACAGAATATGTAAGGGAAGTTTCCACAGGTGAAACAATGGCAAGACTGGATAATCAGCAATATAGTGGTGTAAGAAAGGGCAATTAAGGGAAACTATGGAGTTTTTATGCATGCGAAGGTGTACACAGGAGGAAAGGACAGGCTTTTTAAGTACTATTCTACTCCCAAAATCAACGGTGAATAATGACATCTCTATAAATAAGTCTATGCCTTTGCCTAGTCAGTCAGATCTGCTAATTTTAGTGTTAATAATTTAAAAATATACAACAGAAGCCCTTTAAAACTCCTTATGTTAGCCCTGCAGAAGAAATTCAGTAACTAGTAGGGGAAGCATTTCTCCTGTGTATCAGTAGAAATGTTCATTAAATTCCAGTCAGTTACAGCCAGTGATATCCGTGAACGCCATCGATGTCAGTAGATTGCCCAGGTGTTACTGAGGGTATAGTATGACGACAGGTGGTTTGCAGTGTCATAACTCAAGGACTTTATTTATCCAACAGAATCTTTTTTTTACTAACAATGGTACAATTAGACTATCTTAACTTCTGTATCCCAGGTTGAATTTGAGCAAAGAGCATTTTCTTATAAACTGGGTCACGTTTGATATAGAAATAGACATAGAGCCCTAATGCATTCTTTTTATAAACTATATTTAAAAAGCGCCTTTTAGAGCAGAACTGCAATTAATTTAACCTAACCTAACATATTTTTTAAAGAATTAGAGGGAATGATTTTAACAGTACGGAGTGGTAACACAGCAGAGATAAGAGGAAAGAGGTGGAGGGATAAGAAAGTGATTCTTGAAAATGATTATGAAACTCTCTTGTATTGCAGATATTAAAGGGCTACTGGTATCCTATGCCTGGGATATGGACCAAAATCTACACCAGGGTTAAGCAACTCAAATCCTATTGAAATCGATGGGAGTTCCACTAAATCTCTCAGGACTGAATTTGATTCTTGGTCTCTTTCTGAAGGTTTGGTGAGAAGGGACTAGTTTCTTCCAACACAGATGAATAAAATGTGCATCTTTGATTGAGATTCCAAAGCTTTCTAAGGATTTTTATGACACAGAGCTCACCAATTTCAATTGGACCTATGTGGCCAGATTTCCTCATTGTCTTTGAAAATCTCTGTCTTTGCTTTTAGGGGATCATCTGTGTCTATTCCTTATACTTTTCTTGAAGTCTTCAGAGAAATTGTACTTTAACTGCAGTATGACACACTAGAGCACGTATGGAGAAAATGTCTTCCTAACATCATTACTTGGTGACATTTTTAAAAGGCTAATCCATTACTTAGGACACCATTTAATTCAGAAATGTATTAGGAAACAAACAGGAGATACTTTTGCAAAATAGACATAAAGAGTCAGTCTCAAACATGGCATCTACTGCCCATTGCCACCAAAATAATGAAAAAAAACTTTAAATATTTTACTTACCCACCATAAAGAAACATTAAAGGGGAGGCTAAATACAGAGAGTCAAGCAATTGCAAGAGATTACTTACCCATCTCAATGTCCTCTTGGGCAATGGATACTTGACAATAACAACAGTCCATGAACATAACGTAACTGAACATGTTGAAGAAGAGACCTACTATTCCTACAATGAGGACAAACAGCGGTTCTTCAGTCTTTTGTGGATTCAGATACCTCTTAATGGCTTCAATAAAGATGCTGACCATCAGTGCAGTGGCAAAGACAGAATTGCCAAAGGCACCCAATACATCTGCCCTGGGGAAGCCAAAAGTGCTCCTTTTGTGCCATCTGACATGACTGAATCGGACACCGAGCAACCCTATGATCATAGAGATGAAGTGAGAAAGGACGGCAAAAGCATCTGAAGCTAGAGCCAGAGAGTTACCAACGTATGCTACTGATATCTCCACAATAAAGAGTAGCAGGCTCACAACACACATTAAGAAGAGCCGGCTGCTTCTTCCTGAGTAACATCCCATTTCTATTCCCTCAATACTCTCGGTCCTACAAGATGTAATGCTTGTGGCTAGAGCTCTGCAACAGTCCCCTCTGCCTGTCAGTGCTCCTCACGTTTGGCACTTTTATAGGATGCACTAAAACAATAAAATCAGTTTAAAGTGCAATTTAGCAAGATCCAGTCACGTGCAGTCTGCCTAGAAGATTTAGCTCCGCTTCTGCATCCTTCTACGATGTGGGAATTTTTTATATGAATTACAAATAAAGTGGGAGAGATATGTCATAATGTAGCCTGAACCACAATACCAGGGCACTCAGAGGGAACTCCCACTACCACCACCAGAGTCTCAAGCACAAGAGAGATCAGGCAAGGGATAACCAAAACATCTGGTGGAGCAGGAAGTTTAAAAGATAGCAAATGCATTTTATTTGCTCAAAGGGTTCTCTACAACCTCTCTTCTATAATTCAGCCATTCCTTTGGCCAATAATTTTTAGTTTTAGTTCGAGAGAGGAAAAAAACATGTACACTCAAGTTCTACATTATGACACAATCAATAAACAGAGTTTGTTATCAATACAGCATATGGATTATGCCAGAGATGTAATTAAAATGAAGATACTATTCAAGGGCCAACTTTTCCAAGAGGGGTTAATTGGAACCTTTAATTTTGCATGCATTAATTTGCAACAATTACATACATATGCATTAATCTACAACGTTATTTATGCTTGAAGGCCACTAATGAAAAATGCAACCTCTAGGATGTAAACATTGCACATGGTGGCATTTTTTTTTATATGCAAACTTCTCCCAGGCTTTCTAACTGTAAAGACAAGCCTCCTGGGTTTGCAAGGAAGAGACATTAAAGGAAATCTGGTAGCTGTAGAAATGTGGAGAAGGAAAAGAAGAGGAGCTTAGCTTGTGTGTTAAGTCATTTCTATAAACCAAAACAAACTTCTTCAGTACAGGTAAGAGAGTGCAAAGCACTAACAGCACCCCAGTCAAACAAGGTGATCAGCTTTTGAGTTCATCGTACATATGCACAATTTCCCGTTAGGAAAATGTAGCTGATAAAATTATGCAATATACAAACACGGAAGATGATCGGGTGCTTGTCCGGATAAGTTTACAGTCTAATTTATGTTTCAACTTAAATTGCTCCTCTATGTACATATACATAAAATTGGCCATGAGATAAGAGGGAAAGAAATTCCATGCAGGGTAGCCAAATATGGATAAGATAATACAAATTACCCAAGTCGGCCAATTGTCCATCCCTGGTCTTAATTTTATCGAAGTAAATTATCTTGGGGTCAGAAACTTAGCTATCCAGATCCAATTTACATTTATTATTTTCTGCTCACATTCTGGTACAACGGAAATAATCTTGCTTAACCCACAAATCCCTGGGGCATTTAACAGCACCTGCTACCAGGATTGACATTTCTCTGCTGGTCATTCCTTCTCTGAATTGTTGCAACAGTCTTTGGCCTCTGCTGTTCAAATATCTGGAAAGAATTAGGTGTTTTCTTCTACTTCCTTCAATTCTCACCCACTCTTTGGACAATTGCACTGCTGTCTGTGCACCTGAGAATTAGTTTATTTTGCTGCATTCGTTTATGGATTTTTTCCCATTTCAATTCCCAAATAGCTGCAAAGCTTAATGAAGATTTATTTTCTCTCTTGTACTTCGCATTTTATGACTGCTAGTTCATGTAGCATCTCTCCAATGCATTTTAATAACCCTTGCAGCAGTGGGACACTTGTAGCTCTTGTCCCCCTGCTTTACCCGTGGCCAGTTCAGGTGCTTTTGGGGTGTTTGGACAACATGCTTTAGACTTGTGTGACAGAGTTGATCATGTAAATTCTAGCAATAGGATAGACAAGGACTTGAATGGGATAGTTTGAATAGGGATTGTCCTGTCCTAAGCAGAAGATTGGATTAGATTACCTCTGGAAGTCCTTTCCAGCTCTGCTTTTCTATGATCCATAAACAGTGGATTAAGATGGAAAAACTAACAACAGTGTTTGTATTAATGATCAATACCACTAAAAGCTTGTTTTTACATCCATGTTATTCCTAGTGCTCCCACTATATTTGCCGTGTCCTGGTTTGTTGGTAAAAAAGCAAAAAGGACTAAACCAGTGCAATCCATTAAAAGGAAGAGTTTTTTTTGGAAAGTCCTCAAGTTGATTTTAGTGGGAGTAGAGCTAGATCAAATCTGTGGGTTTTTGAAAGCCAACTTTAAATAGCACTTGATCACTGTCACTGAACAGATCTCCTAACATTTCAGCATCTACTTACTTCTACGTATTTGACCCAAATTCTTCAGAACTACTTCTTTAATACTAAAAGTTAGGATACTGCTTTAGCTGTGACAAATTACAAGGATAGTTGATGTTACAGTGATTGTTGTAGTTACCTGGAAGGAGAAAAGAGCCTAAGGAATCAAAAACTGAATTGTTTTGGGCAATTCTTTAAACTCATTTGGAATAAATGAAATACTGTAAGGGCACATCTATATAAGACTCTTTACTGTATAGTAGAGCAAATTACTGTACAGTAAGCTTTACCCTCCACACATGCAGACCCCCACTGCACAGTAATTTTCTCTGCTGGGCCGTTAATTTCCTATCTGCATTTGCTACCTGCCAAATAGTTACTGTGCACTAAGGCACATGTAGATGGCTGACCAGGAGCAAATTTGGTCCCAGTCAGCCAGGAGTAAGAGATTTCTCCCTGCCATTGGGAGCTGCCTGCTGCTGGGGCAGACTCCAGTGGCAGAACCCAGGTGGTGACAATGTGCCCCTGCCCTGACAGCAAGGAGCTCCTGGCTTGGCTCCCTGATCTGGAGCAGAGGGCTTGGAAAAAGTTGCAGGCAGGGGCAGGTCCCAACCCCTTGCCCCAATCTGCCAGTGGGACAGCTAGCAGCAAGCCCCCAGCTGGGTGGGGAATGCCTGAAATGGGGCCATTCCCAGCCAGCTCTGGGCTGCACATAAGACTTTCCCCACACAGCCTGGGGCTGGCCAGGAACTGTTCTGGTATGGGGCAGGTCCCAGCCCCACAGCTCTCTCTCAGCCCCATCCTGATCAGGCGATCAAGGCAGGGGGCTTGGAAAGAGCTGTGGGGAAGGGGTAGGTCCCAACCCCCTACCCCAATTCACTGGTGGGGCAGCTAGCAGTGAGCTCCCAGTTGGGTAGGAAATGCTCACCCAGCTGGGAACTCAGTGCTAGGTGCCCCACCAGCAAATTGGGGCAGGGGGCTGGGAGCTGCTCCTCCCTCACACCTATTTTCAAACACCCCACCCCAGATCAGGGAGGTGGGCCAGGAGGTCCCACTACCAGGCCAGGGGAACATTGTCCCCACCCAACCTCTGCCACAGGAGCATGTTCCAGCAGCAGGCATCTCCCGGGAGCAGGGAACAATTTCACAGCACCTGCGAGGAGACAGCTATCCCATGTTCCCCGCTAGCCCCTGCAGGGAGGCAGAGCAGGGTGGGAGCAGCTTTCTTCAGGCTGCTCCCATTGGGAGCAAATCTGCTCCCAAATGCCCACTCATGTAGATACCTGCCCAGGGTGGATTTACTCCAGAGTAAATTACTCCAAAGTAAACCCGTCCAGCAACAATTGCACTTGTAGACGTGCCCTAAGAGTTGCTAAACAGTGAATAGTAACATAGCAGCATGCTATGGTCACACTAGCTCTCCATCCAGAAACTCTGATATAGAGTTTATAAATCTCTCTGAACTGGGGTGCGAAAAAGTGAGGTAATTTGTACAGTGAAATAAATGTCAAAGTCATTTGGAAGCAAATGCTGGGTGTAAAAAAAATTTACAGGGACAGGGGACTAGCACTGCTCTTGATGTCTCCAGCATAAGCAATGGCTATTGAGCAGAGTAGTTATGCCTGAAGAATAATGCTGGTAGATCCCAGCTCAGCTGTACTAAGAGGCACTGTCCTACCCTAGTAAGTTCAGTAAAATTTGTTTATTCCCATGGTTTTGCTATTGTTATCTTTCCTCTACAGTTCACCATTGTATGACTCTGGGCACTTTGAAAATTAATGTCCACATTCTTATCTAGTTTAATGTATATTTTACATTCTTTAGCATTTCTCAAAAGGGATAGAAATGAAAGAGAGTGCATCTATGATTTGAATCAGGATAGATGAGCAAGGTGTTCCAAACAGAGTGGAGATGAAATTTCAGCAAATAAGACTTAAAGCATGGCTCTGATTTGGTGGAGGAGGTGTGGGAAAGGGGACAAGGGGAAAAATGTTCCTTATATTAGTGATCTCTAACACTGGATTCAGGCAACTTACACACATCCAACAATTTTATGAAAGGGAGTGGGGAGGGGAGTGGAAAGTACAAATTGACAAATGAAGGCTATATTCCAACCATCAGCTCATAGACACAGCTAAGTACCATATCAAGATGGTGGTAGTTTCATAGTTCTTAGGGTTGCAATGGACCTAAAACAGATCAGGTCTGATCTCCTGCTCTGGGCAGGAACGAGTGCCAAGGTCATAACACCCCAGCCAAATATCTGTCCAGCCTCCTCTTGAAGACCCCCAAGGTAGGAGAGAGTACCACCTCCCTTGGGAGCCCAGTCCAGAGCCTGGCAGCCCTAACTGTACAGTAATGTCTCCTGATGTCCAGCCTGAACCTTCTCTCTAACAATTTGTGGCCGTTATTCCTAGTAACCCCGGGTAGTGCCCAGGGGAACAGAGCCTCCCCCAATTCCCACTGGTCCCCTCCTGAAGAGTTTGTAAACGGCCACCAGATCCCCTCTCAGCCTTTTCTCGTGAAGGCTGAATAGGTTCAGGCCCTTCAGCCTCTCTTCATAGGGCCTGGCCTATTGCCCCCGATCATGCGAGTGGCCCTCCTCTGGACTCTCTCAATGCTAGCCACATCCCTCTTGAAGTGTGGCGCCCAGAACTGGATGCAGTAGTTCAATTGTGGCATCACCAATGCCCCATAGAGGGGAAGGATCATCTCCCTGGGCCTGCTTGTGATGCAT